GGGAGCATGTAGATATTGAATAGGAGGGGACCCAGGATGGACCCTTGGGGAACCCCACATGTGATTTTTGTCATCCTGATGTAAAGTTACCTCCTGATACAAAAAAGTCCCTGTCCTTTAAGTAGGTTTTAAACCAGTTGAGAGCTGTACCTGAGAGGCCGGCACAGTTTTCCAGGCGCTCTAACAGGATGGAGTGATTGACAGTATCAAATGCTCCAATAGTACCAGCACTCTGCTTCTTCCACAGTCTGTAGTTATACGGATGTCATTAAACACCTTCATAAGGGCGGTCTCTGTACTGTGGTGAGCACGGAAACCTGACTGGGACACGTCAAAGCGGCTGGTCATACTTAAGAAAGTTAGAGAAACCATCTCTGTTGGACATGTTGGAACTAATAAAACATCTGGTTTATAATTGTCTTCTATCCCTTCTATACTGATACCTTATAGTCAATATGCCAAAGTACAACCTGAAACTGCTGCATCTACTTCCTTTTATTGGGCCTTGTTTATTTTATTGTTACTTTATCTAGGTAGAAATACAGCTTATCTTAACACCATCATGAAAATTTAAGAACACAGGAGAAATGTCAGGGAAAAGATGGTGAAAGTTTTTTCTAACATAGAAAAAGTTTTTTCTAACAGAAAATGTTTATAGATTAGTGTTTCTATGTTCCTTTTGTACGTCGTCTTCTGTCTCCTCAAACCCCAGTCTGCCTCTGCAGATTGGGGCTCACAATGAGCCTGATTCTACTGGATATGTCTTCCAGTTAAAAGCATGTTTTTCCTCTTCACTGTCACTGCATGCATCCTCGATGTGAAGGATTACTGTAGAGTTCACAACAAAATGCCTGATCTACTGTTGCCACAAGCTCATACAGTGTTCAAATGTAAACACAACTGAGCATCTTTGCCTACACGCAAAATACAAATTGCTCTGAATATAGCACCCCAATAATAAAACATGGTGGTGGAAGCATTAACCTTTGGTAATGCTTTGCTTGCAGGGATATTCATGTTAAAACAATTCTTGGAAATAGATTCCAGATGTCCTAAGCTATTAAAAGCACACCCTGAAAACCCTACAGTAGAACTTACAACAACAGCAGCATTGATGAAGTATTGACTAAGGGGTTGCTGAATTCAGACAAAGGATGCAGGTTTCAGATTTTTCTCTTTTTTTTTGGATAAATAATCATTAATTTTTAATTCCAGTTAACAATTATGCAGTGCCTTATATTTAAATCCCAATAAAATGTATGGCTTTTTTATGATAAAATATGAAGCACAAATCATAGGAATCTTTTGGCCCAAACAGACTGCATTTGATTACATCATCTGTTCAATTTTGAAAATCCGGCTCAATCAACTGATTAGATGCTGTGGGAAAGCTAAAATCCATCCTTTGGGAGGAAGCAAATGTCAACATCTTTGTTTGTTTTGTTCAACTAAGTCAGAACTCCTTTTAATTAAAAATGAGCAATAATGCTTGTGCTACAGGGACTGAGAAACAATTTCAGCAGAATCTGTTTAAAATCTCAACATTATCAGACAACTTCCATCAGCATTTAGCCATATTAAAGACAAAATCCTCATAATGCTGGCCATCCACTGATGCTCAAAATGAACTTAGCTGAGAACCAGGACAATGCCACGCAAAGACCAAACAGATAACAATAATAGTTTAACCTGCAGAAAAAAACTGGACTGCAAAGAAAAAAGAAACAAAGCAAAAGGCAGAAAATGACATGAAGCGCATTTTCTATTAAAACATTGCAGAAGAGAGAGAGCAAACAAATGAGAAGTTATAAAGAAGAAGAAATAAAAAGACCTGAAATTAATTCTGAGAGGCAGATCAGCCTAAAACAAGACAGGGATGAAGAGAGTTAAAGTAGAGGAATGCTGTGAGGAAAACTGCTCAGGGGGAAAAAAATGCCAGAATATTTCATGTTGGACCAATCTATCTGATCTCTCAAAGGGCAGAAGAAACAGAAAAACAGCCTTTATAAACAAACGTCTGGGCTGATTTTGGTTTTGTCTGACACCCCACCTGATCACAGAGGGTGGTTTGATTTCGCCCAGCGGGTGCCCAGGAGGAGGCGGTGGCGGAGGGTCGTGGGGTCGGGAATACATTCTGTCTCCAGTGCGGTTCAGCAGTTCGTTCATCTGCGTGTAGGGCAGCGCTCCCAGCGAGAAGGGCCCGTCCAGCTGCTCCACGTACAAGGCAGCTCTGAGCAGAAACACAACTCATCATCATCATCAGGTTTGTCTAAGTTGTAAAGTAAAAGTTCAGACCTAAATCTAGCTTAGAATCTGTCTTAAGACGTGAAAATTGTTATTCATAGAGGCTCTCAATTCAGTTTGACCAAACAGAAAAAATAAGCAAATATTTCAGTGTCTAGTATCCATTTTATTTCACCTCACAATATACTCTGAAAAAAACAGTCAAATTTCTCTGAAAAAGCTTTGCAAAACACTTTCAAAATAAACAGTTTTTCTCCTCCATGAGTAAGAATGTGCCTAAACTGTTTGTAACACAACACTCCGGCAGACTAACTAAATCTGTCCCTCATTGAGATGGTGGCTATTTATCCATATATGGGGCACACTGTCATATCAATTTACATGAAATCTATTCTTATCCAGCTCAGTAGAAAATATTCTATGCTTACTATACAGGAAATTGATGCTTCTAAACAAGACAGTTTGCATTAAATCTTGATTACACTCATTCTAGTAGAAATAGAGCTTTGTGTTATTATATAGACTGTTGTTAATTTTATAGGCTCTAATGTCTAAAATGAATTAATAGTTTTAATTTCAGGTCCAGTATCTTTCCAGTTTTGATTTAAAACTATCTTTACAGTTTATGCAACTTTTTCCATCCATTACTTTTTTCACGTTCCAATTTTAAGCTTCCTTAATCCACATATTTTAAATTGAAGCATAAATCCAAAACCTTAAAGGAAATTTAATGCATATGAAAGTTTAAAAATAAAATAGGTAAGAAAATAAATGTATGGACACATTTACACATTTCTAATGCCCATTGAACACCTAAAGACCTTAGAGCAGAAAAGTCAGCATTATTGGCCCACCTGCTGTCGTGGTAACCAGTGGACCCGTTGGGCTCCCTGTGTTTGTCCTCTGGTATGTCCTGGGCGAGCTCTGCCCCCAGTGCCAGCTTCTGCCACTCTTTCTTTCGATCGTGAGGCTGTCGCGGCACCTTCTCCGGCTCGGGTGGACGGTCAATCGCCTTCAGCTGTTGCAGAGTGGACAACAGTGGAACAATGGTGGGGCGACGGGAGGGGAATTGATGGGGGTAGATGAGTAGGAGGGGTGAATTTAAAAGCCAAAAGATGATTTAAGGATGATGAAAAAAGACAGGAAGAAATGACAAAATAGCTGATAGATGGAAAGCTGATAGATGTTATACTGCAAAAGAAAAAACAAAACCTAACAACAATAACAAGCGGAACTGAGATTTTTTTTCTCAATGCCCCCAAAACAAATATTCATAAATATCCCTTTCAACTTCGCCTTCTTTAAACATATCATTGCATATGTGTTTAATTAGAAACTCGTTTAAGTTGCTCCAATCAGTATTTTTATTAAAGAAGAGATGGTAAATAAAACAGTTTTACATAAATAAAAAAAACACCTCAGAAACTACTCATTAGACAACAAAATGAAAGTGTTGAGTCAGTAAAAACAGGCTCATCTTGAGATATCTTCCTAATCGATCAGCACTCTCTATCCCCAATACTTTTGCAGAAATAGTTTAAACACACAGAGCTGTAAAGAAAGTGGTAAGACGCTAAAGAAAAGATCACACACAGTATTTTAAAATAGTTAGTTTATACTTTCACATACCTGCCCTGGAAGGTCTAAGTACCTATAGACCTGATCATACATGCGGGGGTCCTGCAACTACAAGAACAAAAAACAAAAGCACCAGGGGTGAGGGGAGGGGGCTCAAATAAAAAAAAAAAAAAATGGCACAGCGACCAGCACAACACTGCCTTACACAGTGAACAGGGACAATATTCATGTGTGTGTGTGTGGGAACAAGAGAGACAAAAGAGAAACCGCAGAAAAAGAAAAGTGCTGTTGAACAGAAAATGACAGCATGTAAAGGGAGGGGAGGGCCTGGCGTCACAATTGCAGGCAGGTAGCAGAGAAACACACTGATAAAAACAGCCTCCCGCACACTTTCAAACAAACATGGAGAAAACAGGGCCAAGCTTCACTCAAGAAAAACATCCGAGACAGAAAAGGAAATAGAGCAGTGGAAACGGCAAATAAACTGGAAGAATGGGTGTCTATGTGAGAGTAAGATCAACTCAGAGGTAGGATGGCAGCACCAGCTGAAGACATGCACAACCAAAAAAGGACATGCGCGCAGAACAACATAGAAAATAGCAGACAGGCAGAAAATTAAAAGACAGAAATCAAATACTGCAGTTTCAACTCTGCAGAACATTCAAACTCTAATCTCTGGAAAAGCAACCGGATTAAATCCATTCGGATCACAAAAGACATTCCTATTTCAAAAATAGATTAAAGTTTCTTCCTTCAACTATATATTTCATAAAAGATACGGAAACCTAAAACAGCAATACCCTCTATTCTAAAACAAAATACTAAACATTTCCTTTCAAAACAAACATTTAACATTCAAATTTTCTTCAGCTGCAGATCCTGACGGTTTGTTCTACACGGATCTTTGCTTTGACAGAACATTGCTGTGGGATTGGCTGTGCTCTTTATAACAAAGGAAACTAAAATTTTCCTCAGAAATCAAAAGAGGAGATCAGTCGTTAGTAACTTTAGCCTGTGGGTATCATATGATAATGTTTAATTACTGCCCACTCAAAGCGAAACCCAGTTTCAAAGCGAAGATTTTCACTGAGAAGTTATATTTAGGTTTTAAATTAACAACAGGGAAAGTTTGTATTTACACTTTGATTTTATGTGAACTTAGTAAAAAATAAGCAGTTATTTGAAAGCCAGAGAGGTTTCAGATCAAATATCTTCATGAAGACCAAGGAATAAAGCAGGCAGATAAGGAATAAAGTAGTGGATATAATTTATACAAGGTTTAGGCAAGAAAAAACATATCCTAAGCTCCATATATATTGGGCACCAGGTGAATACACCACTAGCCAGAGGAGTTTCCAAGAGAAACTTGCAAACTCCGAATGGCTTCTGAAATTCAGCACTAATGTCAGAGATTATGTTCTCCACCCCTAAAATTTGGCTTTTCAAGTATTGAAAGAAAGTTATAAGGACTCCCAACCTTTGTTTGCCCCAAGACATGTAGTCTACACAGAACAACATGATGCTCTGGTTAAGAAAGGCCAAAAAGTGAGTTATGCAGTGGGAAGGCTTTTTCTTCAGTGAAAATGGGGAAGCTGGTAGAAGCTGATGGGGGAGAATGGAGTGAAACACTAAGACTCCAGACTGGTGGAAGCCTTTCTTTAATAAGGACAAGAACATTACAAGGAAAGGGTTTAGAGCAAAACTGGTCCATGTCTTAAAACAGTTCATAGTTCGGTTGACATGTACATTTGATGTTCTGTTCTGTGGGCTGCTCCCTCCTATGAAGACATATGTAAAGCTGCCTTTTTGGGTCAGATAATGAACTGTTAGATGTGTCAAGGACATTGACCTTGTGCTTCATGGACTTACTTTGCACATACGCAGCCCAGACATGATACACCCACCTTTCATCCTTCTTGATCGTCACGTTTCTGTTTTGGCTAATGTGCTGGGATTTTTTTTAGCAGTCCCAAACTTTATCCTGCTAAGGACAAACTATGAAATGTTTTTTTTTTACTTTTCTTACTATAAGGGCAGCACCCTTTATGGCAGCAAGGCCTCAACCACCACATCCCCCTCATGCATATGTTTGTGTAATATCTTTCTGTATATTTTTGTCTTGTTGGACGTGTTGTACTGAAACTGAATTTCCCTTTGGGGATTAATAAAGTATAACTGAATTGAATTGAATTGAAAACATTTACTGGTCAGAGCGGCTCTCCATCCAACATTGCTCAATTGGAGTATTTTGACAAGAAGAATGGGAAATAACTAAACAGCAAACTTTTCAATGTTTTATTTGTAAAATGTGAAAATCATTCATCTCTATTTTTCTACTCCCCTATAAAGTACTGTTTTGTGCAGGCTCATCATTCCAACTCCAATCACTATATATTAAATTCTGAAGAAGTAAAAACAAAATGTGAAGGAATTGAAATAAATAATTCACTATATATGAGGAAACACTTTATATGTCATTTCATTTCCTCTGTTTTGGTATTGTTTTGAGATACTGGATGCATTTGTAGATGCTTGACTGTGTGGATCTTCAAATGTAACACGCTATCTGACAGGCAGATGATTCAACACCGTGGTTTGAAGACATCCGCTCCTCTGGCAAAGCTAAACGATGTTGACTTTGTCCACTGCCGCTGCCAGCCAGCAGGTGTAAGGATACTTCCTAATGCATATTGATTAGCTTCTCATTTATCATTGCACATTAGTCACTGATGGGGTGATTGTTAAAGGGAAATCTATGTGTGAGACATGCAGACACATACTACCTTGCAATGTTTTCCCAAATGGAAAAGCAACCATGTATCAGAAACGCACAGTTCTTCCAGTGCATGGCATTAACAATCCTCTGGGTTTCTGATGCAGAATTACCCTTGCACAGCTTTAGAAGTTTGTCTTTCTACACTAAATTGGCTTGTAGAATATAGGGAGATACTAAGCAAACAAATGGAGTACTCCTCAAATATAAGAAAATCTATACCACTATGTGTGTGTGCAGATCTTCATAGTGCAAGTTTTACAGTGGCAATAAAAGAAACACAATCTATAGAAGCCAACCAAGAGGTGTGGAAACACAATTGAGGACGAGAAGCTGTGTGTAAGTGTGAGCATGTTTGTCACAGTTATAAATGTAGCCAATTTCACTGAGCTTTGTGGCTCAGAGGAGCCATCATCTTTCACAAGAATGGACTGGTAATACCAAAGGAGCTATGTGTGTGAGACACAGCAATGCAATTTATGTATTTCAGTTTGTTTGTGAGCCTGTGCACACACAAGCTTTGAAAAGTAGGAGCATGTGTGGATAGTTTTGCGGTTTAATGACAGACTCAGCAGAAATGCTTCTTTCTATCTAACCCCCTAAAAGGAGGCCTGTGGAGGCTTGCAGTCAACGGGCCACCTTGCTGCTGACAACAACACAATGCTCTCAAACAATACAAACCGTACGGCTGCTGCTGATCTGCTGGATTTAAAATGGTTTCTAATTCAATTAAAATACAACTGAAGCAAAGGGTGGATTTCTTATTATAGGGCTCTGTGTTGCTACACAATGTCCTCCACACACATATGAAACAAAAAAAAAAAACAACCTGTGGGAATATGTTAAAAGCCCTTTTTTTGCAGGATCTTAGGTAAGTCTAAGGTTTAATGTGTCATCTCATTGGAAGAGGGATACAGTAAGATATCAAAAAGCCCCAAATGTTGCCAGAGATACAACTGGATGTATAGTTTGCAAGTTTGATATTAAAGAAACACACTGGAAAAACGATCTACAAATAAGTTCAAATTTCTTAAATTAAGTGTATTTACCCTTAATTTGAGTAGGTAAATGATGTAGTTTGCCAATGGAATGAGTATTTTTACTCTTAAAATGAGACAATAGAATTGTGTTTTCTTATTTTAAATCTACTTTGTCTTGATCCATTGGCAAAATCCTCTTTTAGCTTCTTAATTCAAGAACAAATGCTCTTATTTTAAGAAATAATGACTTATCTAGATTTTGATTTTTTCCTGTCCTCCTTAACAATTCCAACCAGCTGAATTCCTGCAGTATTTTTTTAAATTCATAAATATTGTACCACTCCAGTTTATGTCATTTCAGACAGAACAAAAACAGGCTGACTAGTCACATCGCAGTATGAGTTAAGGCAGGACATACAGCTGTGAGAAAAGCAAGAGCCATTGAGTCCATGGCTAAACCAAAATCTACATGGCAGTGCAGGTGTAAGTACACATAAAATGCTCTTTGTGAGAATCCATGATTTCATCTTGGTAAGGCGAACAGCAAGGGCATGAAAGCACAAGTGTGTGGTTTCTCATGGCGTCTGCTGCCATTTAAGTTGTTGCTGTCAAACAGATTTAATATTGTGTGGAACTACTACACATTATCACTCTTGCTAGAAAGGTTAACTTCACCTGGACTAGGCTGAAAGAGGAGAGAAGCTGCTTCCACAAAGAAACTGGAACTCAGGGTACATATTTATCAGCAACACAGTTTGGATGAAGTAATACACACTATAAATAAGACCTTGCCTGTAGCAAAGCATGGTAGAGGCTCGGTCATCATGGGCTGCTGCTTTTCCCTCTTTAAGGGAAAATATACCTCTTTTAAGAGCAGGAAGGGTTTAACTAGGGAATCCTAAGGGGACATTTTACATTCACTGTCAGGATGCTGAAGCTGTGGAGATTATATCATTTTAAAACTTAATGAAGCATTGTTTTTGATTAATTTCTATGCATCATGTCTTCATGTTTTCCTTTAAACCAAACACTCTTATATAGCAATGATTGCTTATTTGTTATTCATGACCTCCTGATCCCCTCAAGTTTGGAATGACAGTTCTAATGGAAGAGAACAGCAAAAAACATGAAGAGAAAACACATTATTTCAACCATGTGAGGGCCAAATTCATATACATGTATATATCAATGTTTCCAACATTTAAGTAGCTGAGAATTAGAAATTGTTACCATTCATTTTAAAGATAATTAGAAAATGTAGGTATATAAAAAATTTGTTAAGGCATTTATTACGGTCAATGATACCATTCACCGTTAGGAACCAGATGCAATAGAAACGAGAGCTTGCCAAAGGTTTCTAGGTCGTCATTGAATGTTTGATAACTGGCACTGAGGGAATGAACATTCTATCTTGGCTGTTTTTTGAATATAAAGGGATAGTTGCATGATTGCATAATGGGCGTCCAGGGGTTAAATTCTATTAAAATTTGCTCTATGGTGCTGAAAGCCCAGTCGATCAGAAGAAGAAATTGTGCATCTGATATTTCTCAGAAAATCCCAACCAAAAGTAAACTGTTCAGTCAAAAAAGGCAGAAAGTTACTTTGGCAAAAAAATGTTCTGCTGGAAATCAAGTTTTATTATGTTTAGTTATAAGCTAAGAGTTTTCTAAACGGTTGCATTTCCAAATACCAAATTTTGACAAAAACCCACGATCCACTCTAAAATGAATTACTCCCTTTACTTTATCAGTTAGGTAATATTTTATAATCTATATCACTCTTAAAATAAAACTAAAATGAATGGGCACACTGAGTTTTGATTCCTGTTCGGGGCACAGCTGTTGGTCTTATGTTTACAACATCATGGAAGATAAATCACTGAAAGTAATCAATGTCTAGAACTGCCAGGCTGATCCCAAAGGTAGAAGTGGGATGCAGGTATGCTGGAGGGCTGTTAGTGTGGGGCTGGAACTGCTCAGCTCACTTGCCAGGAGCAAACCAGAAGGTGGAGGAGGAGGGTGGGGGTTTGAGTGGGGTTGAAATTGGTGGGAGTTAGTTGTGGGAGAGTGAAGGCTGCAGGCTGCTGCATAGGGAGCAGATGCTCTGATGGAGTGAGGAGAAGGCAGACAGTCTTACCTCTGGGGGAGTAAGGAAAGGAGGAGGGGTTTCAGAGAGGACTCTTATAAGACTCTTGGGACACAGAAGATATGGCATTTCCAGCTGCATACAGTTTGATAAAGACCAGATACAAACATGAGTAAAAAGATATAAAGATTGGTAGGGAAGAAAACATGCGAGGAGACATCCAAAATAAATAATTGCTGCTTGTTTTCCTGATATTACTGATATTTTCATCTTTTGGGATGAGAGCATTATCACTTAAAGTAAAAGTAAAACTGTAACTAAATGAAGTAGTAAGAGCTTATAGCGTTTCTAAATGTTTCTTTTAGACACATAAAGGGAGAAATGGAGTAAAAAAAAAAAAAAAATCACTGACTGCACTGATTGACGAACATTTAAGCATCCCAAGCCAGTTAATGTCTGATAGGTAAAAACGTTTTACAACAAAAACAAGTCTGTTAATAATAATGTGTGCTGTTAGGGTCTCAGCTGCGGAAACTTGGATCAGCTCCTTCGGAGCTGTGCATCAGTAGAGGCCAGAACACACGGCTTGCATCCCATTCTGCAAGCTCTGATGCAAATATGGCTACATGCATGCTCCCACTACACACCACCACACATTCATGTGAAGCCTTGTCTCAGAAATGACTAGCATTCCAGCATAAATAAGGAGGGCAGTAATCTTTGAGTTTGCTGCTCTAATAAAGCCCAATGATCTATTTCAAATATCTGTTTTCTGTACTTCTGAGCTCTCTTAAAGGGTAAAGGATTATTGGTTGAGTACGTCTGACTCTGCACCGCTTGCTGCATACGCACCTTTTTTCCAGACAAACCTATATTTGGGCAAACCTGGTTGGTTACCGTTGGATTCAGAGATTTTACTTTGTATTTTTCCTAAATAGACTGTACTTTACTGTCACTGCCTCTGTCACTGCTTGAGTCATGTCACTCCAGTCAAAGTGTTCTAATTCCCACCAAAATAGACCAGGGGTCTACCTACCTTGACTGGAGCTACGCAAGCAAAGTTGCAAAGAACCATGTCCAGTACCATGCGCTTCTATGAGGTGCAATTGCTATGACATTGTACAATCTTAACAGACTTTACATTTTGTCGGGTATGTTCAGGCCTTTAGAATAACTTTGTGAATGGTACTTTTCATTTTGCCACCATCTATGATGTCAATGTTGGGGCATCTTCTTATAACCTTGCGCATCAAGCTGGATTCTTGCGATGTCTGAGTTTTCAGTCTCACAACATATCCATCTTTAAAGTCTCCCCCTAATACTTCCTTCTCCTAACAAACTGCGAGTCGGTCAAAATGACATGCCAGCAATGTTTTTTTGGGGCGGAACATGTAGGAATGACGACAGTCAGAAGGGTCTTACCGGGGCATAACAAACATGGCTACGCTGGAGACGTACCTGTCGGTACCGTAATTGGCTCGGTTTTAGCTAAAATAGCTTCAATTTCTGATTTAAAGGAGCAAAGAGAAGCAGTTTGTGCATTTGTAAATCAGAAAGATGTCTGTGTTTTTCTTCCAACGTAATTTGGAAAAAGGTTTGATTGTCAGCTCACTCCGCTAGTTGTGACGGTGGTAACTAGCTGCCACGTCACCCAATCAGCTCTAAGTATTATACTGAAAATCCTGCCTTTTCACAGACAGACTGAACGGCAGCCATCTCACATTGATAATATCGAACTCAACTCAGTTTTACACATAGCAATCTGGCCACTGCCAGGTCAATCTTCTGTTTTGGGTGCAGACTGGGTCATTATTGGCTTTTATTCTGGCATTAACAACTTTAGCAACTGATTTCTCTGCATCAAAAGCAAATGGGTTTTAGAAAAGCTGAAAATACATTTTTTGCGCTTAAAAGCCAAAATCGGCCAGTTTGCCTCTCTGACTTGGTTTGTCACTGCTTGGTAAACCAAAAAGAACTGTAACTTTCTTTTTTAGACCTGTGTCCAAAAACTGCAGCTTATTGACTCACATCATAGGCCTAAATGGCTGTTGTGGTGAATTATGCGTAATGCACTGCAATTGGTATGAGGTAATCAATGTTAAATACATAAAGGGATTAGTTGGGCTGGTTATACAGTAATTGCATTGTCAGCTGGTGGGCCTTGAGGTTGACATGTCTGCTCTATGGTGATGCAGGAAAAACACAACAGTAAAAGAAATGTTCTCATTCTAATATACAATAATAAAATGTCATCCTAACCTCCTGTTAAGTACATTTACAGAATTAAAATACGGAGAACGTTTCTGATTAAATGAAAAAAACTTTCTTGTTTTATTCAGATCTTTAAATACAACACAATCCATTTGCAACCCTATTTTAATTACCAGGATTGTATTGTACAAGCCGGTTCTTTTTACTTTAGCTGATTTGAATGATTATCATGCTTGCTCTGCAGCAGGAGGATAATAATTTTCATTAACATGACTGCACCAGGCTTACCCATTAACAAAAGGAAACGTTTTTTTTCAGCACCTAGTGATTAATAGTCCAACACTTAGTACAAGATTCATCTATAATTGCATGGGTGGGAAAAAGTATCTGAGCAAAACCAAACTGGCACATTTAATTTTCTTTATTGTTATTTTTCAAAATATCAACCTCCTAGATCCTTTATTAAATAAAATTTACTGGTAAAGTTTAAAAAGCCTTTAGATTAATTGCTGTTTTACTGCAGTATCATTATCTCATACAATGGAGAGTTAAGAGTGAGATTTGGAAATAAAACACAATAAATGATTAGACAGACATAACCTGTTTAATGAAGTGCACTTCTTTGTCCACTGATTTATGGACTTATTGATTATTTTTATGTTTTATTTTGTTAAGTGCTTTAGGTTACATTCAAAGTTTGAAGCAAGGGGACTCAAACTAAAAGCTGGGAACTTCTAATATTTACATAGTGGGATAATAGGCTACTGTAATCAGAGATAATAATATTTTCGAGCTTTGTACTTTTTTTATCATGCAAATTTTACCTCTTATACAGCAAGCTGCTCAATAACAGTGTGAATGGCATATTTTGACTTGAACTAAATACCCAAGCAATGGTTTATAGGTTTTTTCAGGGTCTCTAAATTTTTTTATAGAATCGCAAAGCTTTAAATAAACCTTGTGTATCTCTTACCTCAGAGTGGATCTTTATAACCAAACACCTGGTTATTTGTGCCCTACTAAACAATAAAAACAAACAACTTTACCTGAACCAAATATGTATGATCTTCCTATCACAGTTTAACTTTTATGTCAGGTTTTCAAATGAAATTCAGAGAACAAACCAGTCTCATCGAGGATTCAACCAGATCCTAATGTGAGAGGATGTATTGAATACTTCAACCAAAGGAAAATAGATTTTTACTGAAAATTGGAGAACTGCAGTCTAATTGGATCTGAGGCCCAAAGTTGCTTTAAAAATATTTTTCAGCTTTGATTACATGTAGGATGAGCTTTCTCTGCACAATTATAGCAAAGACAACAATTTTTGACTTAAGATGAAATGGCAATTGATACTGAATAGCGGAAAATGTCCTTGTCTCTTTTGCATACATCTTTAAAGAGCAGGGAAACTATTTTAATATCAGTGATTGTCAATAGGAATTAGGCTGGAGCAAAGAGGAACCTAAGCAGGGATTCTGATGTCAAACAGGACCTGAGTACCAGACACTACTGTCAAAGAGATGGAGCGTGATCTTTGTTCCAGCTTCTGTCCAAGCTATTCTTCTTCCATTCATCTTTCAGCAATTGACTACGAACATCTTCCCTTCCTCTGACTCATTCAGCATTTCGTCTGCTGCTAATCCACTAAGGATGAGGCTAACACAGAAGCTAATGAGATTAGGACGCAGCAGCCGTCTCAGCTCCACGTTCTCTTCAGTCCTGTTCTGTGCTGTTTCTCATTTATTACTGCCTCCTAATCCATGTGTGTCTATATGTAATATTAAATCTGGTTTTAGACTACCTATAAGTAAGTAAGCCTGCCGGAAATTAGTCATCTCTAAAGCACGAGGGTTGTGAAAAATAGATGTAACTTGCATGGCTATTTTACTGTTAATTTAAATAGAAAATGTATATAAGCTTTATTTATCCAAAAGTTTTCTTGCTGTTGGCTATAAATTCTTAATTCATAATGATTTGAAATGATATTGGAAATGACAGGTTTTGTAAGTTTGATAATAAGCTATTGCAATTGAAAATGATTCATTTTATATCCCAATACACAATGTTATCAGGGTTGCAATAAAACTGAGAATGGCATAAGAAGCATGGGGTAAACTAGAGCGTGTTTACTCAGACCCAGTACTTAACGAAAAAATTTTAGTTTTTATATTATATATCCTAGACATCACATATCCCCTAATGGACATTCCCTAAGAGGAAGGCTGCAAGATGTAAGACATGCATGTGTGATATCATAAGCCTGTTTTTGTGTAGTTTAAAGCAACAATGGAAGTGCTTCTAGAAAAAATATATGTGAAATCTCCAAAATGACTGACTACTAAAAATAGAGATGCACAGATAACTAAATGCCATAACTTAGTGAAATACCAACATGAAGCAGTGAAGTTTAAAAGTCTAAAATAAAGGATTGTTGCAGTCTTCTATTGTCATTTATAACCTTTCCAGGATACATTTCCACTGATCCTCACTCAGACCATTTATCCATGATGGCAACACAAACAAGCAGCTATAAATACATAAATCTCATTCTATCATTATTTTCCCCCCAGTGAATGTCTTCTAGCCTTTTCCATGGGGTCCATTGGACTTCAACAGCAGCGGCGAGGGGAAATGAACATGGGTTTATAAGCCTAGCCCACCTGAGGCTTTAATTAGATTAAAATCTGAGAAATTAGCTTTTTCTACTAGCAGTGAGATTAACCTAAACCTCTTTTAAAAGAAAATAGATTTACCTAATGTTAGAAATGACTTTCCCTTGTCCTTTGTCAGAAACTGAAGAAAAAAACTAATGCAAGCCAACTAAAATACAATAAACAAATCAAGAATCGCTGCATTGAACCCTGAGACCTGATAGAACTTTGTCCCCTCTATGCATTCCACATGTTCATTAAAAACCTCATAATTGGCCAATTATATCCTCTGTGCTCAAATAAAGCCTCAGTGGAAAAAACATTTGCTTTGCTTCCCTCTGACCGTGACTGTAATAAGCTCTGATTGACTGCGAGGGGGAAAAAATGGGAAGCCACTTCCCACGCAGAGAAATGAAAGCTGGGGTTGATTAGACCTTCTGGCATATAGGGTAGGAAACCCCTTGGTTTTGGAGCCCCTCCACCCGGTAAAAGGTAGAGGCTTTTTTAAAAGCTTTAACAATCCTTTGTTTAATTTGATTTTGTTAAAAAAGAACAAAAATAGCTAAGAAGATATCAGTTTGAGTATCCCCCTTCACACACGTCTGCAGAAAAGAGAAAACTGATGCATGGTGCGGGGCCATGCAAGAAGCAGATGCTCCCATTAATTAGATCTAATGATCACCCAAGTAATAACTAACAGGGTTGACGGAGGGAACCGTTGATTTATCTTTGAGTGGTGACTAATTAATGGAAGAGATGATGTGGTATGGAGCAGAGCTGCAAATCTATTAGTGAGTCACCCTGTTGGTAAATTCATGCAGAAATGTGGAAAACACAGGAAGCCTCTTCAGTCACTTCAAGTCATCCTGATTACAAACTCCACTACTCTACAGAGACTCTCATCTATAGAGGCAATAAAAAAAGAAAAGTCTGAACGTACCTTCTGCTTCCGTCTCTCCTTCCTCTTGTCCTCCGTGTCCTGCAGCATCTTTTCCCTCCACAGGTCAAAAAAGTATGATGGATCCGTGTAGAACTTTAGGCCTTCTTTGCCATCATCTCTGCAGAAGGACAAAAGCAACGTCGGTGTTATATTTCTTAGAGGCCAAGACACCTTTTGACATCCTGTGGTTTTGCTACTTGAATACAAAGGTTTTAAAACATAACTTTCTTTTAAAAGTGCAAACTGTTTTCATCAAACAGAACACAAATAGGTCAAAGTAGCTTCATTCACAAGTCTTAAATATTAATGCTTTATTTTTGACTTTTTTTTTTTTTTTTTTTTTTTTACTACATATGTTTAGCAAACTAAATCAGCATGTTTTGAAGAGGCCCCTGCAGAATGGCCTCCCAAGTTTGGCAGATAGCCATACCTCCTAACCCTGCTATTTCCTGGCTATCTTTTTATCCCACCTGCTAGAACCAGGTTATGGCCTCAATTTTTGCTTCTACCGTAGATTCAACCAAGTACCAGAAACCATTTTGGGCCCCAGGGACATGATAGCATAGGCATTGGATTTGTAATAAGGTGCATTATCTCCCTTGTAGCAGCTATGAGACAATAGATATACTGCCTTAAAAAGGGAAGGACATGGTCAGAAACAATAACACTAATCTGAGCTGTGGCATTCAAATATTGCTTAATTTCTTATGAAAGGATCCTGGTTTGGGGCAAGATAATATCTCCCACACTGTTACACACAGACAGCTTTAACCACTGACTAAAAGGTATAATAGCTGCATTCTTTGTTGTTTATTTCAAAGTGTACCAATATCATCAAAACTCATTATTTAAGTTAATGTCTTTTCTAGTCTGTTGCAGTCTCATCTTAAAGAATCCTATCCTTAGTGTCCTTTCCTAAGCTGAAAACACTGGTGCCTAATGCAGCATCTACTGCTGTAGCCCACTAGGGTTATTGATCGTTCATGGTGGTCATGGTAGACATGGTATTTTTA